AGGGTTTAAAGGCCAACTCAGAGAAGCTCTAATTTTTCAAGGGCCTCCACCACGAAGAGTCCTAGGTGCGAGCACAGAGACCGGGTCACGAGTGCACCTCCTTGCTCCAAACTTCCAGACTTGTCCGAAGCCGTCAGGGTCATGTGGGGCCCGCGCAAATTCCCTGCTTGATTCTTGGGGAGAAACTTAGGGATCCATCGCTTTCTGTAGTTTGGATTTCCGAAGACTTCGATAGGGATCCCCGAAGCTCTAAGCTCAACCGACCCAGGATCCATCAGACATGGAAAACGCACCGGCTCGATAGCACCTCAGAGGAGTGGTTTGCCACTTGGAGCGACAAGAACCCGACCTGCGAGCACAAGCTTTGGAACGACACAGAAGTAGCTGCTCTGGTTCAGAGCACTTCTCCTGATGTGATCTGGCCGATTTGGCAAGGGCTCTTACCAGTCGAGCGGGCTGATGCATTCCGCTACCTTGTGCTGTGGGCTTATGGCGGATACTATGCTGACATCGATGTGTCGTGCCTTGTGCCTATTTCAAAAATGCAGCTTCCCAACGAAACTGACATGCTCCTCGGCTGCCGTAGCCCCTAGCCCGTTGCCCCACTTTCTGCGTGTATGATATGAGCTAGGTGCAAGACTGACCGGATACACCATAGCCGTCCAGAGGGGCTATGCTGATGGGCCCTGCCTTCAGCCAGCCCAGGATCGTGGGCTACGAAACGGGGCGCCACCTGACAGAAGGCGAGCGCGAGAGCGTGCAGTTCGCACGCACGGACCAGTTCGAGCAGTGGTTCTTTGCATCTGCACCTCGAAATCCTGCCCTTGAGCTGCAGATTTCAATAAAGGCTTCCTAAGGCTTTCCGGCTGTCGGGTGCCGTCTGAGGTTTTTGTCTTGTTGGGTGAGTGGTTATGGTTTCGTTTATAAGGATCTGCAAAAAAATCGTTTTTGGCTTCCCGTCTCAGCGGAGTTGGGAACGGCTTCATACGGGTTCTACACGGTTTAGTGTTCAGGTTCTGTTTTGCCCGCTACTGTTGCAGTGCTTGTCAGGTATTGTCAGGTTGTCAACAGGTCGCTGTGGGAAGAGAGAAGAACCTACTGGATACCCAGGTTGTTCCTTAGGGCGACTCGTTGTCATTGAACTATGCCCTCCAAGCCCTACTCTAGCTATCAAGGCTCTCATGCCCCTAAAGCCGTTGTTATGAAAGCCTTGAAAGAACCCTACTCCAAGCCAGGTGCTGCTTCGCTGTTTGGAGCTGATTCGGCAGAAGTTTGGCTGGAGGATCGAGTGCCTCTGAAGCAATTTGGGATATTGTTTAAAAAAGAGGTCGGGACAGATAGAACGAACAATTATCAGCCTGTCGTCCTTATAAGGCTATTCAGTATATGACAAAACCCGGTCCTTGTGTCCAGAGTACGGCCTTTCCAGAAATCATCCTGCTGCTTAGGTTTTATATTGGCGTAATTGATTATCTGAAGCTTCGGAGCAGATCTTCAAGTCTACTCAAGCCCTTAACCCCTAAAGCCTAGACCCCGAAGCCCTTGAGCTACAACCCAGGTCCACAGAAGAGCTGACGGGGCCTGCCACCTTCACAGATGCCGTGCACGAGTTCTTGCTGACGCACTCGCCAGCTGCTTCGCCTGAGGGTCACGTTTCGAAGTCTGGTGGTATGCCTGTTACATGGTACTCCACTCGAACATCTTTATGTTGGTATGTATGTAGCTGTGTACTTGAAGATAAAGCAACGTACCATGCGATTGTTGCGCACTGTCTTACACGATTGGATGGCACACCTGCAT